CAGGGCCCTGAGATGGCGACATCTTGATATTATGGAGATGGTTAGGCTCTCAGGTACGTGCTAAACTACGAGATTGACTTTATGGTTCCCTCTAGAACTGGTTCTAATGATTGCGAGAATGTATTTACTTTTTATAGGCTGAAATCGTTTTAGAAGTCCCCAATCATTAGATTTCCCTGGAAGATCGTATAGATTTGTTGCTTTCTGAAGAAGCAGGAAGTTGAACCGAGTTGAATAAGCCATTTGTTGGTAGGATTTCGGTTTTAGTCACTTTTTAGCTAAATCTGATGCTTCTACCAAAAATAGTAAATACTAATTAGCATTATTAAGAAATGCGACCAGTTGGTGGGCAGTCGCTTCTATTGGGAGTGTGAGAAATTGCGGATGGTTTGGCGCTTGCTTTTGTCTTCTACCTTTATACTTTACGATCTTTAGTGCTTTCCACCTCCAATTCAAATATTGACAAGGCTTTTGTAGTGGGATTATGAACAGGCAAAGCTCAGGATACCGTAAGGAGGTCTTTTTTATCATACTTTTGCCTCCATTATCGTTGGTAGTATGGAAGGATTCTCCAATAGTATCACTTGTGACCTATGGGTCATTTCTCTTAGTGTTCACCTCCTGAGTGTGGACGTTAACCCATTGAAACCGTGCAATAGGGCGGGACGATTATTGGCCCAGCTTATCTGGCTTGAATTCCTGTGGCCACCGAATGTTTTGAAACCTGTGCAATTTTGATTATTCCTCTATCAGGATTAGCTGCATGTGTAATTCTCAACGACAGACACTCCAGTGAACTCTAGGTTAGTCGGTGAACTCGATCGGCTTAAGGAGTTGTACTCTGTAAATACTTAATGCATCCTTACATATTTCCTTCTTTTAGGCGGTCAGCTTGGTGCAGTACACCGAGAAACGGGAGAGCGACTAGCTCTTACCGACTACATATCCAAATACGAAGTGGCTGAAACGGAAGTGGATTCGTTGGGAATGCAATCTGTTGAGACAATAAGAGCTGATATTATCTTCCATCGTCTCTATCGTGCTGTCGTTGAGGCTGTCTTCAAGGGACCCGATTCTGATTCTCCTTCTCCCTTGCATACGACTGTGGAGTTGTGTACTCTCGAGGATCTGCCTGGATTTCATGTCTCTGAATACCCCATGGGCTCAGCTCTAGCTCTCGTTACGAAAATCGCAATTGTGGTAAATCGCCGTTATGGTTTTCTGTTTTGAAGCTTGTTCCGACTTCGATGGCTTTTGAACATGGTTCTTACTACTTTCGAAGCATCAGTTTATTCCTTAGTCTCTGTCTATCTTTTTATTTAGACCCCTATTCCTGATATCGCCAGTCTACCTCTTGAT